GTACAAAATATTTCACTGCAGAATTAAAGTGTAAAGTTTTTCTCCTCTGGAGAAAAAAGCAGCACCCACAAGCAGCTCTGCCATGTGCTTTGGTTACGAGCACAGCTGAGACCATGAGCTGCAGCCTCTGGTAACCCCCATATCCTGGGAGCACCCAAGGGCAAGAAACCCAGCAGCCAGAGGAGATGGCAGCAGCAGCCGCTACTGGGACCTCCCGTTCCTTTGAAAACGAGCCAGTCCCTTCAAAAACACTATTAGAACAGGAATTAATCCTGGAAAGCTCTTTTCAGCCACTCAACCACTGTCTCTTTGTAAAAGGAGGAAGGAGGAAAGGCTCCCCCTAGGACAAGGCCCTGCTCATTCCTGGGATATTCACCACAGCACTTGCAACATTGTTCCAGAACGGAAGCTTCCTACTTGGATTAAATTCAAACTAGGATCATAAACCCCCGTAAAGCAGCCCTGAGCTGTACGCGATGCCAGGTTGATTTAAGCTTCCATCCCAGAGAGGTTTTTACTCTCCAGTGGGAGAACAGCACCATGCCCAAGCACTTGGAGGATTCACCTTTCCTGGGGGGGACCTCACCTCTGTCCAAGCACCAGCTGTAAACATTTCACACCAGGAGCTGCCACACACAAAGTAATTTCTTCAGTAAAAGAAGTGAAGGCAGAACCAAAGTTAGGAAGGGTCACTCAGCTATTGCCTGAATCAGAATTTAGAGGGAACAAACTTGGGTAGTTCAGCCGCAAAACCATTTTATCAGCTCTCAAACCAGTCTGTTAGTACATCTGTCTTTCTGAGAGAGCATTTTAAGCCAAAGTGGGTGAACAGCCTCAGAAATAGTGAGGAGCGCAGACACCACCGCATGGGCTGGAGGATGGCAACGCTGTTACCCCCCAAAAAGATATTTCACATATTCCACCTCTATCTTGTATGTGTATACACAACTGAACTAGCCAGAACAGGGCTGGGTGTTAGTACAGCCTTATGCAAACACCAAGATTTAAACACAAAATGGATTTATTCATCAGCTTATCCTAAAATAAAAAAATAGAGCTTGTCACATGGCAATGTCAGAGAGATACAAACCAGGTATCTTTAACCATCAACTGCTTTGCAAAGCACATGAGATTCATATTAAAAATATGGAAGCCCTCCCTTTGGTGCAAGCTAAGGGCAGTATCACCCAGAAAGCCAAGAAAACATTTGCATTATGCCAACTCCCAAGCTGGGAGACCACGTTACCTGTGAGAGAAGCAGGAGAACCTTCCTCTGCTGCTCCGGCTGCAGCCACCACCTCGTGACTTCCCCCACGTGGAGAGGCAGGGGCAGCTCTCCCAGCTGGCCCCACTTATCACCTAGGGTGGTGGAGCCGAAACGCCGCGCAGCTGTGAGCAGCACCCCCTCTCCCTGTGCCCAGGGCTGCCCTCACCTGTGGCCAGCCAGGCCCCGGCCCGGCTGCTCCTCATTGCACCAGCGGAGAAAGGGGGTGGTGGGGATGGTGCTGCTGCAGCTACGAGCTCATGACAGCCACTTTATTCTGCTCTTTTGCAATAAGGCTTTTGCTGTGAAGAACGCAGCTGTGATCCATAAGCTGAGGCCTCTGGTTGGCAGCCAGGCCTCACAGTGAGCACCACGGTGGCACAATCCAAATGCCGCTGTGTCCCGTGCGCTTCATTGCAAGTCGCAGCAGCGCCAACCGCCAGCGACTCGTCTCCTTCTCCGGGGCACGAAGGCAGCGATGCAGCCCGGGCAGCTGGAGCTGAGCACCCTCTGCCAGGCAAAGCGCTGTCTAGCAGGGTGGTAGTCAGAGAGCTGCTGCCTTTGTGTTGAATCATCGTTTAAAAACTATTTGAAGCTTATTTAGAGGTCTGACAAAGCAAAAATGCTGTTCAGTTTTATTTTACAATTAATACTGCAGCATGCATGACGAACTGCAGTCTGAACACAGGCGGGCGCTACACAACACCAGTCTAGGGCTTCTGTGCAGCCGCCCTCCGCTCCTTTGCCCCGGTCTCTGGTTCTCAGCACTGCAAGGTGCCAAGTGCCCAGCGGGACAAGGGAGCCGGTTTGCAGAGTTTCCAGTGAAGAGTCCTGGGCTGGAGGGCAGGTGGATCTCAACATTCACAGTGGAAAAGCATCTTATGGAGAGAAAAACAGTAAAAGCGACGCAAGTGGATTGGGATTGGATGAAGCAGATCCAGGATAAAGTACTTCCATGTATTTTTTCATGTATGTTTTCTGATAATCAAAAACGTGTTCTAGTCCAACCACATGGCATATTTTTAAGTGAGTTCACGTATACACTAAAGCCCAACCTGAACGCATTCTGATGAAGCATCTAATATAAAAGTGTGACTGGAGCTGGTCTTGTTTTGACTTCTCTAACCACAAACACTTTCCGACTCCTCCACAGATGTGAGTTCCTTGGAGAAAAGTTATAATTAAGGCATATAACAGCTAGAAATAAGTTAGATTTTATCTTGGTTCAGTGAAGCATGTTGCTATTCAAACAAACACCACTATATTTGCTGCTCTAACACTAAAATGCAATGGCTGTTTGAGGAAAACACAGCTGGCATTCTGTTCTCGGGCCGCAGCTTAAAGAAAGGAAAAGAGTGTATTAAACAAACAGCATCTTGTCAAAGCACAACGCAGCTGGACACCAGGCGTGTACCCTGAGCACAGAACGTGGGCAGAGAGGTGATGTGGAGGCTGAAGCTTGATGTTTTCCATGACATTCTGGATGCTGCATCAGCAGCCAGGCAAAGCCCGCAGCGCTGCCCTCCTTCACCCACACAGGGGGAGCAGGTGCCTGCAGAGCGCGGGCCTCCCGCTCCCGAAACGTCGGTCCTGGGTGCGGATAAACCCCTTATCTGAGCTCTAGGAGGGAGGCAGACAGACCTTCCGCTGCTGCTGGCGAACCCCGGCACCACCGGCTCTGAGGAGCTAACGTCACGCAGCTCTTCCAAGCCTCCATCTGCAAAACGTTATTTTTCTGTATTGTGCGACCTTGTGGTAACAAGGTAAACAGCAGCCCGAGCACGCTGTTCAAAAACACCCCGTTCCTCTTTCCACAAGGAATTCCCTGGGGCTCCAGCGTCAGGGCCTCACCCCTCCATGCCGGAGCATTTTGCACAGGATGGGACCGGAGTTAACTGCCAATAATGAGGGCCTGTTACCAACACTGACATATGAACCAGGTTACTGAGCTCAGTCTGCACACAGAGGCGCACCTGAGGTTTTACTTCTCCTTCAAGTAACCCCATCTCACGCTCCTTGTTAAAGCAGAAGATAACAAAACCAAAACAGAGCCCCAAGAGTGAGCAGCCCTGGCCGCGCTCTGCCAGGCCGGTGCCACCGCCGGGGTCCCTGCTGGGCCAGGCCGACCTCCCTGCTCACCTCCACCCGGGGAGGAACAAGGCCAGGCCCGGAGCGGAGCCAGGCGGGAGGAAAGGCCGGGAAGGGCTGCGGAAAGGCCAGGAAGGGCCGGGAAAGGCCCTTGGGAGCCGCGGGCCGCACTCCTTGTGGGGGCCATCGGCGGCCGAGCGAAGAGCCCCTGCAAGCCCACACAGCCACCGGGCTCTTCAGCGCCAGCAGTTACCGGTTTGAGGCCAACTCAACCAGCAGATTTTCCTGTTCAAGCAAGAAATCTTCACATCTGAGATGTGCCTAATTTTCTGTCATGGATGACATTAGAAAATAACTTCAAACTGCCCCAAGGAAAAGACTAACACTTTTCACCAAGAAAGAGTAAACCTGGAGTACACCTGGAGTACAGCACACTGCAGCACCCCCAAAAGAGCTGCACAGCTGTATACAAGCACATGTGCTTGTACAGCAGCTCCATTACTGCAAAAAGCAATCAGAATTTCAGGGAAAGCAGATAAGTGAAATCACCTGCAGAGTAACTGTCTAATAAGGGAATATTCCTTTTTGGAAGCCTATTTCTCTCTAGGTGTCATTACAGAACAGATGATATGCAATCAAACAGATTGAGGATGGATAATGTAATCTTAAAATACTGCTCTTTTCTATGAAATGCATGTTGCTGTAATAAATTACCATATTTCAGAATGCCAGGTTTTGGAATATGACAAAACAAAGTGCTGGCTGTAGTATAGAATTCATAAAATAGGTTATGCTTAGAAGTCCCAAAGATACTACGGGATCAAAGGAACACAGGAAGGCACTGCTCTGCTTCCTTGCAGCTCCCTTTCCACTCAGAGCATCCATCCACTTGGCTTTTCCTTACCACTTGTTATTCCTCATAGTAGGTCAGTCAGCTGAGACAGGTCATGTCTCCCGGTTTGTTGCTGAAGGGCCAAGACTGGTTAAGGTTTTAAAGCAGGGGCAGTTGGAAAAGATAGGAGAGCACCCATATTGAAGAACAGCAAATGGATAAAAGACTGCATAAATAGGAAAGATAGCACACACAGATGGAAACACAAAAGAAGAAACCTCATGAAGAAAGGCACAGAACAACATGACATTGAGAGAGGAAGGGAAAAAAAAAGCCCTACAAGTTTCCAGGATATAATATATTTACACAGCACATGCAATTTCTTTCAGGTACGCTAAGGAGTTGGGGCAAAACACCTTTTACTCCACACTGGTATATGTTTCTGACCAATGTTAGGCAGCAGCTTAGCCTTGTGCATTAATCAGTCATGAATAGCTTAGATGCACCATCGCTATCATCCCCAGCTATAGCTTTGGGCAGTGCAGTGATAACAACTGCAAAATCTGAACCCAGAGTTCGGCTCTCCGTGTGCATTTTCCCAGGGCTAAGGAGAGAAGAAAGAAAAAAGTGGAGAGAGAAAAAAGGGCTTGAGAGGATGTTTTGGGAAAAAAGAATCACAGCCAAAAAGATGAAAAGCAGAAGAGAAGCAGGAGAACAGCAGTCATACGCTTATCTTACCATGGATTTGTGCAATTTTGAGTGGCCTTTGCAGCAGTACACCAAGCAGAATCATACTGTCATTGGTATTTCTCAAGCTTTTCCCTACCTGTCTTGAATGCATTATATGAAGGGATATAAAAGACATCCTGTTCTCTCCTGGAGAATCTCTGTTAAAATAGACAAAATAATCCATCAGGGTTATATTAATCAATCTGTTCAGCAAAGGCCTTACAGGAAAACATTGCATCCTATTTTCTAAAAATATCTGTTAATTTATTGAGGAGCAATCATCAATTTGAAACTCTCCCTTATGATGACATTTTTTAAACTATCTACTCAAGGCATATAACCTATCATAAGAGCAAAAGTTAAAATACTTGAGCATTAAAAAAGGACCTACTTTCACATTTAAATAAAAGCAACACATTAAATATGGTTATTTATAATTTTAACTTAATATAAATATTAGTTCAGAGAAAATTTAGTATGTAAAGTAAAATAAATCATTGGGAAACATGAGGTATAGATGATTAGTAATAATTACCTGGATGGGCAAGTTTTAAGTCATGACTAAGCCTTCAAGTAACTGATTCAAATTCCCATTTTTAAATTGTTAATCCCATAAATTGTGAAGTGCTCTTAGCATGGAATATTTTCCTGCCATAAATATCCTACAGATTGATTCTTAGCAATAAGATCATCTTCCCAGAATAGGAGACATAATCATATTCCGAGGTGCGTGCACTGAATCCAATATTACTTGGTAGCAAAATCTGAGGACATTCTATGCCTAAAATTGTACTTTTTGCAACCATTTCACTGCAAGAAACTTGCAATGCCCTAACATAGCACCCAGCCCACATGAGCATCTTTGACCTTGGTAACAGCACAAGCAGACCTGTGCTGTTAATGAGCTGCCCACCCTGCATGGGCCACAGCAACAGGGTCTGGCCCAGGCAGCTCTTGCAGAGAGCAGAGATAATTGGGATCCAGGCCTGTAGGGTCCTGAGAAGTTAAAATTAGCAGTCATTTAGGCTACTTGTGCCTAAAGCCAAGCCTGTCATTAACTAGTCCCAAGAGTTCTGACTTCCTTTTAACTCTCACACATCAACTTCCAATTTTGGGATGAGGAATGAATAAGAAAAAACTGAATGTGCACTCCATTCAGTCCCAGGCTTCCCTGGCCACGCTGCAGCCTCATGCTGCAGGCCACTTCTGATCTACAGGTGCAGACAAACAGCAGTAACGGGGAAGGAGAACGATGGCACCTGTGACGAGCACAACTACCCAGCAGAAAACGGTAGCAGGTAACAGATCTATGGCCATCAGCAGCCTGCAGGGTGCCAAGCCTCTGGGCATGGACAAGGGGAGCCCTCTGAGGCGGTGCCTGGCCGTAAGCGCGGAGCCGCAGCAGCGCTCGCCGCCGCCGCACGACATTGGCACCCGCGCGCGGGAGGAGACCCCAGGAGCTGCTGGGGTCTAAGGGCTAGAGGCTCAAGAGAAGGTCTGCTTACATCTCTACCCAAGTCTTCATGCATGTGTACAAAATATTCTTTTAATTTCTTCTCTCTTTTCAGTTTCTTAGGAATGACCAAAGTATCTTGGGAAGTATTGGGAGAGAGTCCAAAAGAGAAAAATGGTGATCTCCCAAGAAGTAACATCTGGTATAAATTTATATTGTCTGAGGAACTGACTCTAGACATTCACACTTGTCTGAATATTTACTTGAAATGCAATAAACACCTAGCCAAGTTTTTGCTACAAATATTATTTGAATCTTGCAAGATATCTACCTGGTAAAACATTATCATAAAAAATTTATTTCAATGAAAAAACTTAAAACAAATTTTAAAATGCAGACATTTGATTTATTTACAGAGAATAACATTTGCAAGAAGTCTTGCAATGCATTCCCTCCACTTTAAGTACAATACAGTACACCGTTTTCCACAATAAGTTACATAAAGGCAAGTTTTATGTACATGTAAAAAGGATCAGTGCCCAGAACTATTTGCACAGCATATCTGCTGCTATTCAGAAATCAAGCATTTAAATCTCTTAATCGCCTTCTTGAAACAAACTGACTTGATAAACAGATCTTAATTAGCTGAGAGAAGGGTTTTCAACTAACTTCTAAATTCAGTGGAGACCATGCAAAAGGTTCAACCCCTGAATTAGCATTCTCAGCACTCTGTTTTTAAAACAAAGATACAAAAAAGAGGCATGCCGTATGATAGCATATAAGACAACATGAAGAAAAATGCCCCTGCCTGCATTTCAACTGTTTATATACCCTGAAATCTCCAAAAGAAAAGTACAGAAAGAGTAGTGCCATTGTATAAGGCACTAATGAGACCACGCATGGAACTGTGTATAACTGTTCATGCCTGTTTAAATAAAACTAAACTGAAACAGTGAAGAATAAGGCTACTAGGATTATCAGTGGAATGGAGAGTATCCTGTGAAGCAAGATTATAGCAGCTTTTTCTAACGAGTGGAACAGCTCGCAGTCTATGCCCGCCTTCTAAACCATGCCAGGGAAACGCCAGACGGAGAGAAAGCAAGCGAAGGGCCCGATCAGCTCAGCGGCAAACGCACCACTAACGAATCTAACAAACGGGTACTGAAATGCAAAGACAGTTTCTCAACTTTAAGGCTGAGAGGTACAGGCAGGATCTTTCAAGAAGGAGCAGTGAGGCCAAGTATCCTTAAGCAACTGAGTTTACCAGTACAACTCAGTTTATAAGGGTCTAAGACATGGTGTCTACTGTGGCAAAAAAACAGACCCAGAAACAAAACTGGAAAGTTTCTAACCAGCTTGACCCATCCCCAAGATAAAGTGGTGTCTCTTTTACAATGTGAAACTATTTTAAATGCTTTAAAAATCCACTTTAAAAGATTTTCATTTTTCCGCCTTTCACATGAATTATTCCATATTCAGCAATGTGAATGTCAATACAAGGAATACAGCACCAAACTACTGCTGTGAAGGAAGCAACCTGAAGAGTTCACATACCAGTCTGCATTTCGTGTATACTTTGACAGGGAGATTCTTGGTTAAACTTTGCTTGTTCTACACATTTCTCTTGTTTCTACAGCAGAATGCAAATATAGCATCCCTCTAAAGGTATAGTGCAGCGAGCCATACAAGACTGAAAATACTCTGCGGATAATGCAAAAGATTACTTAATTTAATCCATAAAACAATGCAGATAAGAATCACAATGGACCCTGTGGAAAGAGTTGTACATGCCACTGATGCGTTTTTCCAGTCAATACTGGAGACACTTTCCTTGAACTACCTCAGCTTCCCGGATTCTTATTTCAGGTGCTTGAACTGGTAAGATATGTAGGTAATAGTGTATCAGTCAAAGAATTACTTAGAAAACAAGAACAAGAACCAAAAAAACCCCCTAAACTCTTCTTCACTGAAAAAGAGAGGCACTGCATTTTTAAGCTGAATTAAGGCTGTAAAATGATGCTGGTTCATTGTGAATTGGAAGTCATCATGTTCCCGCTGCCCCGGGGCTCCGTTCAACCCGCTGCTTCGCTGTTAGTCCTGTAGGCCTGTTTGCGGAGGTGGGTCTCAATCTCCTCCCTGAAGACCAGCATGCCGAGGTGCGAGTGAGACGCTTCATTCATGGCTTTGGATTGGATGCACATGCGGTACTGCTCCGGCGTCAGTTCATCTGCACAATGTTTCTCGTGCCAGAGGTGGAAGAGACCGGGGACTGGCGTCCTCACCACAATAAGGTCACCATGCAGGTACTTCCTGTACAGGTGGACGTCCTCACCGCCCCAGCCTTTCACTTCCAAGTCAAACCCCCCTATGAAACAATGTCACAAAATGTTACTGGGGCAAAGAGAGCAACAGTGCAGCACATGAACAAATTTTATATGACATATCAGAAATTCTGGAGCAGTTAACTGTTTTCTCCATGCCAAAGCATGACAAATTGAGGGAGAGAAGCTTCAAGCACTGCATCCTTTGTGGTAGGAACTGCCCCGGACACAGATCACACACTGCTGGCATCAGGGAGTCTCTTAAAACAGAGTCTCCAAATCGCGTTACGTGTGACACGCCATGTGGCAGCTGCAAAAGTGGTGAGCGAGCCTCTCTGGGCATGCTTCCCTTATTCCTAGCAATCATAATGGATTTTAGCATCTGGATAATGAAGCAGTCATGCACCATATGAAAAAGTCTTCTCTTTCAATGCCAGCAATTACTCCATAGATTGCAACGCAAAACCTCGGATTAAGAGAAGGAATCCAATCCCACCACTGAAGGTTCTCTCTTGCCTTACCAGGACTGAAGCAAAAAAACCAATCCAGACTGACAAACTCAAAGCTCTAGAGTTCTGTCATTTTCATTTAGTACATAACATACACACGGCCGTGACTGTTGCTAGAAATTAAATAAGGTTGAATTAAACAAGATGGCAGCTAAGGCAAGGAATATAACACGATCTACTTCTGACAGATTATTTTTAAGACACTCTTCTAAACTGCAGTAATCAAGCTGTTGTGAGTTTTAACAGCATGCCACAAGAGGGTGCCAAAGTATATTCCTAAAGCCTTAAGCCACTATATCCAAGTATTACTACTCAGGCTGTTTAAAATACATTATAAGAATTTTAACATTTCTATGGGAACTTTTCTTGGGGGATGTGCTTCAGGAAGTTGCTTAATTTGGTTCATATAATCAAAAAGTAGAAAGAAATGATTTTTAGAAGTTCCTGAATAAAATCTTGTTTATTTTCACAGATACTATGTTTTTTAACAGCTGTTAGTTAGATGGCATGTCAAAAACTAAAACACTTATCTCTGTTCAAACTTGACAATCAGCAAGTCTGACTGCTGAACTCAGCAAAATAGTATGAGACAAATGTAAGGGCTTGTACAAGGCTTTCTTGAAGCCATTTAAGAGAGAACCTTGCTACAAAACAACTGTTCAATTTGATCTTACCAACAGTCAGAAAGTCTGTCCGATATTGACAAGTCATCCCAAAGCCAAAATCCCGCCAGAAACCCGAGTCCTTCTTGTGTACCTGCAATTTAAAAATGATAGTGTTTTGAAACATAAGATACAACAAAGGAAATAGGAGTCCATTGTCATTGCTTTTATAGAAACAATTTATTTTGACAGCCCTTCTACCTTTAGGCAAGGAAGACCCAGAAAATATAGCACTTCCTTCTTTCTGCTGAGCACAAAATTACCATAAATCTTTGTGGGTTTTATTTATTTATTTTCTTTGCCAGGCTCCCTAAGAAGCAGTGTTGCTCATTCAGAAAGCAAGATTCAATTTATTTCATAACCACCAATGATTCTGGTGGATACTGGATGGCAGACATTAGAAAAAAAAAACAACTTGCATGAACAGGACAGCTACATATGGCATGAACAGAGCAACTTGCCTGAACATGTTGCCCACCTTGACTTACATTCATCCTGAAACTGCAGTTTGGTAGTTAACAAAGAGAAGTCTACAGTGAAGGGAGCTTCTCGAGAGGTGTTCCAGGGGTTTTCTGTTCACACCTTCTCTGGCTCTGGAGCACAACAGAGGATTTCCCCCATGGTACAGTCAGTGTCCCTATCCCGATAAAGTCTTGTCTTTGAAAGACAGAATTAAGCAGTAGGCCAGAACTACTAATTTTCTTTCTTTAGTTGCACATTTTTCTAAAATACAGATAGAGCTCTGTTTTATTTAATATGTGATGTTCGTACTGTTTGCTAACCTTCTTTTACAAGTACTTTGCTTATAATGGAGAAAAATGCTTAGATATTTAGTCACACTACCAAATATTCTAAGATGCCACACCTAATTTTGTCTTAATACAAGGCACAATTACCTTTCCTCAGAATAAATCTGGCTGCTTACCAATTGCTGCTCCACAGCTGGTGGTGTGTCTTGGTTGGCATAGACAATAGCAGGATTATAGAGGCTAAATACCACAGGATAGAAAACCTTTTTTCCTAGAAGGCAAAGAAGATAAATAATTACTAAGACTATTCCCTTTCCAAAGGCAAGGGAGGAGGAGGAAACTGTAAGAGTCTCCTCTATGTGCAATGTTATTAACCATCTAAATGAAAACCAGTAAGTATAAAGTCTATCTGCTAGAATTTTTCCACTTAGGCAGACCATAACATCTTCTATGCCAGAGCACACAGGAAAAAAAGGAAAAAAAAAAAAAAGGTTAAAAAAAAAAAAGCACAACACCACATTGGATAACACAGCAAAAAATCCCTAAAATAATCATAATCATAAGCAGTTAAGTTACAAAAATAACCAAGACCAAGGAACACACTGCATAGCCTGATATTTATTTATTTAAAAGCATGCAATGTCCAGCATGTAAGAGTCCCACAAGGTCATTAAGTGTTGCAAGTATCTTGACTATGCTGTGCCACCAGTCCTACACCTATTACAGGAATCTGACGGGTGTTTTTCAAGGAGCTCTTGCTGATGCCCTCAAGAACACACTGATTTGGGCCCCAACTCTGACCTCGTGTGAGGCATCTTCAAATCTCGCTTGAAGCGAGAGGTGGTCCAACTATCAGCATGATCTGTCAAGCAGTCTCTCCAGTGCCCTTCCTTGTCCATGTTGACCAAGTTCTCCTCTCCAAAGTTTTTGCAATAACTTATACAAACCATTTCATTAATTTCAAGCACAGGCAGAAGTAAAAGAAGGAGCGAAAATTAGAATCCAAATAGCTGATCAGTCTTTCTTGTCCATTCATTATGTGAAGCAAAATAGCTATTCATTCCAAATTGATATTTGAAGAGTAAGTTTTGTAGCTGCAACAAATCCGCATTAAGAGTAACCATTAAATATATATATACACGTATATATATATTTGACGGAAAGAAGCTTTAGTAGAGGGTATCAGAGCAGTGCTCAAAACTCAAGAAAGCATTTTCTTCTTGTAGAAGCTTGCAAAATGAGTTAGCTTCATAAACTTGAGACAATCTGGTCAGAAAAATTCAGAGCTTGGAATGTGGAGTCTCCTTCTCTGGAGATCTTCCAAACCCGCTTGGACGCAGTCCTGTGCCACGTGCTCTAGGTGACCCTGCGTGTGCAGGGGGGTTGGACTAGATGATCCTAGAGGTCCCTTCCAACCTCAACCATTCTGTGATTCTAGGTAAACGTGGAACCCTAGATCTGCCCTAGTCTCTGTAAGGAGCACATTGTGTAGCTTTTACTGCAAACACTTTTATGACAAGACACAGGTGTGAAGTACTAGAAGACACAAAACGATCTCGCTACAGATTTTTGTATACCAAAAATTACATTCCACTTTCATGAGACTTCACATGGAGTTCTGTTACACAACTCTCCTACAAATTAATTAGTAAAAATTAAACTGTCCAACTTTTTCTTACTTACCTAAATTGATAGAAAATATGAAAACTTATCTACTGTACAAATATACAGTGAATTCTTATCTTAAAATAAATTACACTAAGGCAGAAATTATTTTTCAGTCTTGACAGTATTTTCTTTTCAGCATGGTTATTTTTCCTTTTGTGAGATGAATGCTATTGAACAGGTTCTACCATTCCAACTAGTCTGTGTGCTCAGCTAAGGACAGTTTACAAGCCAAACAACATAAGACTCTGTTAGGGCAACTTCAGGGGAACATACCAGGCTCAGCATTCAAGCGGCAACTGTTGAGGAACTCGGCTGTGAAATAAACATCAACGTCACAGAAGAACATCAGGACCTCGCCCTTCTCCCAGGCTCTGGCACCCATGTCAAGTCCCCGGCCACGGTTAAATTCCTCGTTCAAAGAGACAAGTGTGTAGTTGTGGAAATTAGTTTCCCTGAAAAGAAAAACAGAGTCAAATTCAAAATAAATCCATGTGTGGGGTGGAAGGACTTTTATACTCTTCCAACATTTTACAATAATTTTGTTTCAGACATTTAAACAAAATCCTGTTCTACAGCAGGATGAGAAAGAATCAGTTCCACTTAGCTGCCTCTTTTAAAACATCAGAGTTTAGACAATGTCAACAGATGGATGTCAGTCTTATTTCATAACTTAACTTTACAGTTAATTATTCAGACAGATTAAAAAAAGCCTTCTGGCACTGGACATGAACTGAAACGCGCTCTGAAATTACAGTGACATCTGAAAACTGTCCTGACAAACTAACAATCCCTCATTAATAGGGCAATATCCCTGTCTGAGCCCCTGAGGTCTTCAAGGAGCTCAAAGCAAGAAAGCCAGAGTCCTGGCTCCACCAAAACCAGGAGGCAAAAGCTCATTTGTACATTGATGCCAGGAAGAACAGAAAGCCTCGTGGCAAGCTAGCAGGGACAGAAAGTGCCTCACACATGGAAGGAGCCAGCGTTCTGCAGCTAAGTGTCCTCGTGGCTTTACAGGAGTAAGACAGAAGAATTAGTTGCAACCTGAAGGTTTATACCAATTGGACAGACCAATTCAACAGGACATTTTCATCCAGCAGTGCAATAGTCTCTGCCAAATACATTTCATTAGAAAAGACTCGGTCCCGCATCGTATGACAGGGACACGCAGGCCACAGGCTCGTTCCTGACCAACATATTTAACAGGCTCCCAGCTCAGGAAGGAGAATAAGAGCTCAGGCAGAGAACCAGCTCCTTAGAGACGGACGGACACAGCTACTCAGTCTGAAAGCGAGACAGGTTTCTCACCTAACTGGGCAAAGCTGCCCCATTCCTCTGAAGCAACATTCGGAAATTTTATATCCAAACTGCTGTAATTCTATTTTCTGTAAGCCATGACTGACAAAATATCCTTTATTTGAAGCTATTCTATAGAAAAAGGTAAGTATAGAGAGCATTCTGGAGCCATTACATCGTACACAGAGCGGAGAGGACAAACTTAACTTCTTGACCAGATAAATTGAGCAGCGAAGCAGCCCTGAACATAGCAACCAGTCATTTCTCCTCTTCATCATTGAAGTAAATTCTCCTGTGGAAGAGCTGTCACAACATGCATCTCTGTTCAGGTACAATTAAATATTATGCTATTAATTCTGAATGGTGTTAATGTAACTGAATATTCATAGTGAAATTAATTCCTGTATTTTTTGGTGTTGTCAGACAGAAACCTCAAAGCTACTGCTGTTAGTCTTTCTTGGCCTTTTTAGATGTGCATGTTTTCAGGTACGGAAAACTCAAAATCTCACCTAAAAGTTTATAGGAGACTTTTGCAACTTAAGCTGTGAAATGCTAAATGAAAAATTATTTATTCCAATTTGTACCTGCCTATACATCGTTTTTGTTTATTGTTTCTTCATTTTTAAAAATCACTTAACTTACAATCTTGTTTGTACTGCTGATATTGGATATACTTACTTACCTAGCTACAGACTCTAGGATACTTCTCACTTCCGACAGTCCATCTTGTCCAAAATATACCACAGTGAGGTGAATACGCTTATCCTGATGAATACACACATCCCTATAAGCACAAGGATGAGCTGGCATTATTGCTTGCAACACAATAGAAACCTCAGGCACTTCAAAAAACATAGACAGATACAAGTACTTCAGCAAGACTTTAACTAGTGTTTAAAGAAAGCAAAGAAAAATATTTTCCTGCCTCTCTCTCCCCATCTTTCCCACTTGAATAGGAAGATGCCAATATTGTGTGCCTCACTCTGATACCTTATTTTAGAAAAAGGAGCTCAAAAGAGGGCGTAAGTACAAAAAGGGCATGCTCAAGATCACCACTTTCCAGCTTCACAATAGCCCTGGCATTCAATCCAAGAGGGATTTTGGTGTAGTTTGAAATGCAGTTAAACCCATTTGGAAAGAACATTTTCTCCATATAATCAGTTTGGTTACAAATACTCCAAGGCAGTTGCACACAATGTTGGAGTCATTGGTTCCATCACAAATCTACCAGGACAGAAATGGAAAAATTACTACAAGTCAGCAACATAGCTCACTGTATGGTCTAACGCACCTACCTAAAGTTTTGCATAAATTGTGCAAATGCCTCAGTTCTTCCAGCAAGAGGAACAATAATGTTAATGATTGATCTAGAAATATCGACTGTTTCACTCTTCACTTTCATGAGTGGTCCAAAAGGTCGGAACAATGTGACATGTCTGTACTCCATGCCATCCATCTTCTTATAAAACAGCTCATACTGTGTCCCCTTATCTCTTTCTGTACGATAGTAACCTGAAGAATAAGTCACATAAGCAATTTATGAATTCAAAGATCCCAGCAATTTTATTTCAGAAACACCATTTTTCTCGATAACTATAGACAAATAAAAATAAAAACATCTCTGCTTTTTTTCCTCTAAAATAAGGAAAAAAAAATCCTGTAAACCACTATGAATTACAGTAACTTTTACCTTCTTAGAACCGATTTGAAAAAACAATCTCAAGCCAATAATTCCCCCTCACTTCTCAGGGTTCAGCAACAGGTTTTACGACATTCTACATCAGCTTCTCAGGT